GAGGTCCCGGACTTTTGGACTTTAGGTTCTAGATGTTTGTGTTCGTTTTTTGTTTTTTTTATTTGACCTTTTCTATCGTTGGTTCTTCTCGCTGAGCAGAACCTCTGGAGACCGGGACCAAGACCTGGTTTAGTTCTGGGTTAGACCTGAGCTACACCAAGTCCACACCAAGTCGAATGAGGTCCAACCCAGGTCTAAACCAGGTCTAAACCAGGACTAAACCAGGTCTAAACCAGGACTAAACCAGGACTAAACCAGGACTAAACCAGGACTAAACCAGGACTAAACCAGGACTAAACCAGGACTAAACAAGATCTAAACCAGGTCTAAAGTCTAAATTAGTCTAACCAGGTTAAACCAGGACTAAACCAGGACTAAACCAGGTCTAAACCAGGACTAAACCAGGTCTAAACCAGGACTAAACCAGGTCTAAACCAGGACTAAACCAGACTAAACCAGGTCTAAACCAGGACTGAACCAGGACTAAACCAGGACTAAACCAGATCTAAACCAGGTCTAAATTAGATCTAATCCAGGTCTAAACCAGGACTAAACCAGGACTAAACCAGGACTAAACCAGGTCTAAACCAGGACTAAACCAGAACTAAACCAGGTCTAAACCAGGCCTGAACCAGGACTGAACCAGGACTGAACCAGGACTAAACAAGATCTAAACCAGGTCTAATCCAGGTCTAAATTAGATCTAATCCAGGTCTAAACCAGGACTAAACCAGGTCTAAACCAGGACTAAACCAGGTCTAAACCAGGACTAAACCAGGTCTAAACCAGGACTAAACCAGAACTAAACCAGGACTAAACCAGGTCTAAACCAGGACTGAACCAGGTCTAAACCAGGACTAAACCAGGACTAAACAGAAGTAAACCAGAACTAAACCAGAACTAAACCAGGACTAAACCAGGTCTGAACCAGGACTAAATGATGATAAAATTCGTGTGTTTGTTTGTTTCTGTGTTTCGTGTCAGATTTGACTCGGACTTAAATCCAGGTTGAACCAGTTCAGGATTTGGAGGATCTGGTCTTCGTGGTCCGACAAGTCCGTTCCACAGTTTAACCCTGATGCCCTCCCTCCAGCTCAGAACCCCCCCCTCCCCGGCACCGGACCCGGATCCAAACCGGGACCAAACCGGGACCAAACCGGGACTATATCTGTAACAAGTTTAGGCACAGTGTCCGGCCGCGCCCCAGCTCTGCCCGCGCTCCTCCTCCTCCTCGTCCTCGTCGTCGTCGTCCCCCCGGGAGGATCCGAGGAGACGCAGCGGGAACTGGACGCGGCCCGGAGCAGCTCTATGGCACACGCGCTACTGTTAGCCCCGCCCCCTTCCTCTGACATCATCTGTGACGCCCAATCAGAGCAGAGAACACACGGCTGAGGGAAACCCGATCCTTCCGTTTTCGGGATTTATTTTTCTACGTCCTCGACTTTTACGTCATTTTACGATGGATTCGAGTGTTTCCATGTCAGGTTTTGGCCGAGCGTTGTGTTTCCGTTTGTGTTTCAGTTTGTGTTTTAGTTTGTGTTTCAGTTTGTGTTTCCGTTTGTGTTTTCGTTTGTGTTTCCGTTTGTGTTTCCGTTTGTGTTTCCGTTTGTGTTTCCGTTTGTGTTTCCGTTTGTGTTTCCGTTTGTGTTTGCAGAGTTTGACACGGAGCTGGAGTGATTTCAGAAGTGTAACACCACCAAAGGGAACAAAAAAACAACAAAAATAAAAACCAAAAAATTAAAGTATTATTGTGTGTCAAGTATTTCCCGCGAGCAGAAGTGAGACTTGTGTGTTTCCTGTTGTGGAGTGTGTGTGTGTGTGTGTGCATGTGTGCGTCTCTGCTCTGTGTGTGTGTGTGTGCGCGTCTCTGCTCTGTCTGTGTGTGTGTGTGTCTGTCTCTGTGTGTGTGTGTGTGTGTGTGTGCGTGCGTGCGTGCGTGTGTGTGTGTGTGCGCGCGTCTCTGCTCTGTCTGTGTGTGTGTGTGTGTGTGTGCGTACGTGTGTGTGTGTGTGTGCGTCTCTGCTCTGTGTGCGTCTTTGTAAACGTTAGACATTAGTGACTAAACTCTCCAGCTTCACAGAAACTGGACGCAGCCCCAGTGACATCACACAGCTCTCCTCCAATCACGAGCGAGCGTTTATGTCCAAGGAGGTTAGGGTTAAGGACACACTGGGAAAAGGACACACCGGGTCGGGGAAGGAGACACCAGGTCGGGAGACACCAGGTCGGGAGACACCAGGTCAGGAGACACCAGGTCGGGAGACACCAGGTCGGGAGACACCAGGTCGGGGGAGGAGACACCAGGGGGCGCTCCGATCTGCAGAGGAGACGATCAAACCTGGAGAGAGAGAAAGAGAGAGAGGAGGTTAGAGGAGGAGAGGAGGGAGGAGAGAAGGAGAGAAGGAGAGAGGAGACACAGAAGAGAAGGAGAGAAGAGGAGTGAGAGGAGAGAAGGAGAGAAGAGGAGGAGAGAGAAGAGAGAGAGAGAGAGAGAGAGAAGAGAGAGGAGACAAGGAGAGAAGGAGAGAGGAGAGAGGAGAGAGGAGAGAAGGAGAAGGAGAGAAGGAGACAAGGAGAGAAGGAGAGAAGAGAGAGAGAAGGAGAGAGGAGAGAGTGAGAGAGGAGAGAAGGAGACAAGGAGAGAAGGAGAGAAGAGAGAGGAGAGAAGGAGACAAGGAGAGAAGGATGAAGAGGAGGAGAGGAGGAGGAGAGGAGGATGAGAGGAGGATGAGAGGATGAGAGGAGGATGAGAGGAGGAGAGGAGGATGAGAGGAGGATGAGAGGAGGATGAGAGGATGAAGAACATGTCTCACAGGATGGAAGAGGAGGAGGAGAGAGAGGAGGATGAGAGGATGAGAGGAGGAGAGGAGGAGGAGAGGAGGATGAGAGGAGGATGAGAGGAGAGGATGAGAGGAGGATGAGAGGATGAGGAACACGTCTCAGGAGGATGGAGAGAGGAGGAGGAGAGGAGGATGAGAGGATGAAGAACATGTCTCACAGGATGGAAGAGGAGGAGAGGATGAGAGAGGAGGATGAGAGGAGGATGAGAGGATGAGAGGAGAGAGAGGATGAGAGGAGGATGAGAGGATGAAGAACACGTCTCACAGGATGGAAGAGGAGGATGAGAGAGGATGAGAGGAGGATGAGAGGATGAAGAACATGTCTCACAGGATGGAAGAGGAGGGGATGAGAGGATGAGAGGAGGATGAGAGGATGAAGAACACGTCTCACAGGATGGAAGAGGAGGGTGAGAGGATGAGAGGAGGATGAGAGGATGAAGAACATGTCTCACAGGATGGAAGAGGAGGGATGAGAGGATGAGAGGAGGATGAGAGGATGAGAGGATGAGAGGATGAGGAACATGTCTCACAGGATGGAGAGAGGATGAGATGAGAGGATGAGAGGATGAGAGGAGGAGGATGAGAGGATGAGAGGAGGATGAGAGGAGGAGGAGAGGAGGATGAGAGGATGAGAGGATGAAGAACACGTCTCACAGGATGGAAGAGGAGGATGAGAGGAGGATGAGAGAGGAGGATGAGAGGATGAAGAACACGTCTCACAGGATGGAAGAGGAGGGTGGTGCAGTCGTCTCGTGGTTGTGTCGTTCTGGGGCAGATTCCGCTGGAGTTTCGTAAATATCCATTTACGACTTTCTGATCCAAGCGGAGCTGACGAGGAACACTCTCAAACGGCTTAGGGTCCAGGTCCAGGACCGACACCGAGAACGAGAAGGACCTGCACGACAACCAGAACCAGGACTAAAACAGGACCCAGGACTGAACCAGGACTAAACCAGGACTAAACCAGGACTAAACCAGGACTAAACCAGGACTGAACCAGGTCTAAACCAGGACTGAACCAGGACTGAACCAGGTCTAAACCAGGACTAAACCAGGACTGAACCAGGACTGAACCAGGACTGAACCAGGACTGAACCAGGACTGAACCAGGACTGAACCAGGACTGAACCAGGACTAAACTAAACCAGGTCTAAACCAGGACTAAACCAGGACTGAACCAGGACTAAACCAGAACTGAACCAGGACTAAACCAGGGACTAAACCAGGACTAAACCAGGTCTAAACCAGGACTGAAACCAGGACTGAACCAGGTCTAAACCAGGACTAAACCAGGTCTAAACCAGGACTGAACCAGGACTAAACCAGGACTAAACCAGGTCTAAACCAGGACTAAAACCAGGTCTAAACCAGGACTAAACCAGGACTGAACCAGGACTAAACCAGGACTAACCAGGACTAAACCAGGACTAAACCAGGACTAAACCAGGACTAAACCAGGACTAAACCAGGTCTAAACCAGGACTGAACCAGGACTGAACCAGGAAACCAGGACTGAACCAGGTCTAAACCAGGACTAAACCAGGTCTAAACCAGGACTAAACCAGGACTAAACCAGGACTAAACCAGGACTCTAAACCAGGACTAAACCAGGACTAAACCAGGAACTGAACCAGGACTAAACCAGAACTGAACCAGGACTGAACCAGGACTAAACCAGGACTAAACCAGGACTAAACCAGGTCTAAACCAGGTCTAAACCAGGTCTAAACCAGACCTCTGCTGGGCGTCGTCTTCTTCTGTCGTGGGCATTAGTGTGATCATGATGGAGCAGTCCTTCGCCGTCATGGCCGCTCTGTACTGATGAACCTGTGAGCAACACACCAGAGAATGAGCCAGACGCCCGAGGGACTCGAACCCACAACCCCCAACACACAGAGTTTAGAGTTTAAACGTGAGAATACACAGAGGCCTGAGCAGATCTGTTGCCTCTGGTGTAAATTAAAGTTAAATAAATTGTCAAAACTTCATATCTACAGCAGAGCCTCAAACGCAAAGTAGAAGTTGTGGGAAATAACTGGACTGAAAAAAAACAAACAAACAAAAAAAACGAGCCTCTGAACCGCAGTTTTAGTTTGACCCCGTGTTTGACCCCTGACCTTGGCGGCGGCGTACTCCACGGAGCCGTCGTCTTCTGAGGGACACTTCTGAAGCTTCTCCAGAAACATCTCGTCGTAGGGGCCCTCCACCTGCAGGCGGCTCCTGGCACCACAGGGGGGCAGTGTTACACATGTCACAGCCGCTTCATGTAGAGGCTAAAGTCACGATCTAGACCACAGGTGTCAAACATGCGGCCCGGGGGCCAGATCCGGCCCTCCAAGACCTTTAATCTGGCCCTCGGCTGATTTTCTACTAAAATATTTTAATAATATTTTCTATTAAAATCGTGTTAATTTTCTGTGGTGTTTATCACAGCAGCGTCTCCAGCGTCTCTGTACGTGGCCCCTCCCACCAGAGCAGCACAAATGAAGACTTGTCTCTTTCCAAACGCTCTTAAAGGACGATCGTTTTGACTGTTGACCGTGACACCCTCATCAGAAAAATGTCCAACATGAGAAAAGTGGAGCCGAGTGCAGGATTTTACAACTAAAATGGACTTATTCTTGTTTACAGACAAGTTCATGTTCAAACTTTGTGTTGAAATTGTATTTGTTCGTAATATTATAACATTATAATAAGAAAAAGTTCACCAATTAAAACAGATTTGTGTAATAGATTTGTGTTTCTCTGCACAAATATTTGAACTTATTGTTATTTTTGGGGTTTATATGACATGAGTTTTCTGATCCGGACACTTTGGGATCAAAGTCGGTTGGATACGGCCCCCGGAACAAAATGAGTTTGACACCTCTGGTCTAGACGGTTCATTTGAATGTCTCGTTTTCCTCGTGACAAACACACCCGGAGGCGTGTTTTGTTTTACATTCACACAAACCTGCACATTTAGTAAAAATAAAAGAGTAAAAAGTACCGTTCTTTGGGGAAGTTGTGCAGGTGCTGCTCCACTCGTCTGTACAGAGGAAACAGGCCCTCGATGTCCAGAGAGTCCAACATCTGAGTGTGTAAGACCCGAGAGAGGACGCAGTCTGAGGGCAGCCCCTGAGAGTCTGCGCACAACCAGGAGTCAAAATCAAACTCAGAGGAATCACACAAACACACACGAGCAAACACTGCCAAAGCTTTGAGGTCGTCTGAAAACTCCTGAGATCAGTTTGTCTTTTCTTATCTTGAGTGTAGCGAGATGTACAAGGTGGCCCAAAAATCTGACATCATTTCATAATCATTTTGGCAGTTTCACAGAATGTTCAGAAAGAGATGAAGATTTTATATGTAAGGTTTTATTTTTGTTGTGTTTTCAGGTTGAGTCATTTTGCGTTTTGGGATCTGCTGCTCACACTCAGCCAAGACTGTGCAGCTTCAACGCAACATTTGGAGAAAAAAAAAATTCAAAACAAAAACAAATTGGTGCCAAAAATGTAAAGAGGAAGGATCTGGTACCAACATCCACATCTTCATCGAGCTAGACTTAGTAGTTTTCAAGATAATTGCTGTTAAAATGATGCCACATTTTTTGGGACACTGTGTATTTTCATATTTTAAGAACAAAAACTCTTCTTCAACTGGTAGATCGTTTTACTTGTCAAGAGAAATTGACAGAATTTATGGAACTCATGATAAAACTTTTTAAATTCAAGTCGTCTGTACTTGGTTTGGTTTCACTTCTGCAGTGCACCTGTTGTACTTCACATAAGTCTTTTCTTTCTGGTCAGATAAAGGTCAGATTCAGGTCTAACAGAGTTTCTGACACAGTAGTGCCTTCAGTTAGCATCAGACATCAGCTGCACACGTGACAGTATTTATCTTATTTTCTCTGCAGTAGTTTGGTTGATTTTCTGTGGAGGGTTGGAGACCTTCTGTGACTCAAACTAAACAGTGGCCTCCGTCACTCACTGCAGCTCACATTTCTAAGAGTACTGTATATTTAGAATACTTTTGGGGACATTTCTAACAGTATTGTCCCATAAAATATTCTAAATATACATTTCTAGCAGCATTGTATATTTAAAATACTTTTGGGGACATTTCTAACAGTACTGTATATTTAAAATACTTTTGGGGACATTTCTAACAGTACTGTATATTTAAAATACTTTTGGGGACATTTCTAACAGTACTGTATATTTAGAACACTTTTGGGGACATTACTATCAGTATTGTATATTTTGAATACTTTTGGGGACATTTCTAACAGTACTGTATATATTGAATACTTTTGGGGACATTTCTAACATTATTGTATATTTAGAACACTTTTGGGGACATTACTATCAGTATTGTATATTTTGAATACTTTTGGGGACATTTCTAACAGTATTGTATAAAAATACTGGGGACATTTCTAAAAAGCACTGTATATTTTGAATACTTTTGGGGACATTTCTAACAGTACTGTATATATTGAATACTTTTGGGGACATTTCTAACATTATTGTATATTTAGAACACTTTTGGGGACATTACTATCAGTATTGTATATTTTGAATACTTTTGGGGACATTTCTAACAGTATTGTATATTTAAAATACTTTTGGGGACATTTCTAAAAGCACTGTATATTTAAAATACTTTTGGGGACATTTCTAACAGTATTGTATATTTTGAATACTTTTGGGGATATTTCTAGCAGTACTGTATATTTAGAATACTTTTGGGGACATTTCTAGCAGTACTGTATATTTAGAATACTTTTGGGGACATTTCTAGCTGTACTGTATATTTTGAATACTTTAATGGACATTTCTAACAGTATTGCATATTTAAAATACTTTTGAGGGACATTTCTAAGAGTAGTGAATATTTAAAATACTTTTGTGGACATTTCTAAGAGTATTGTACATTTTGAATACTTTTGAGGATAATTCTGCTTTACGGTTTGGTTCCGTTTGCTCGTTTTTCATCTATCCTCCACGATAAATCACACATGTGTTACCGTGGCGGGCCTGCAGGGGGAGGATGGACTCACGGTGTCTGAGGCGCTCTCGGTTGAAGGCGCTGGCCTCGCAGAAGCTCCGCCCCTCTGTGTGTCTGTGGGAGGAGTCTACGGTGCTGGCCCCGCCCCCACTCAGCAGCGCTTTCACCAAAACCTGAAAAACAAATCAAACAAATCCAGCCCCTTTCTATGGAACACTATTTAAATTAGTACTGACATTAAGTAAACAAAGTAAACCAACTGGAGGTGTTAAGCAGGAGAAGTTTATTTGCCATCAATAATACAACCCGGGGGAACCGGAAAAGTCAACATAGTGTGACTTCAAAAGTGAACAGAGTGTGATCTTTGAGTGTTCAAGACCCAGAGGGTTATGTACTGTATAATTAGAATACTTTGGTAAACAATTCTAATACTTTTGGGGACATTTCTAAGAGTACTGTATATTTAGAATACTTTTGGAAATATTTCTAATACTTTTGGGGACATTTCTAATACTTTTGGAAACATTTCTAATACTTTTGGGAACGTTTCTAATACTTTTGGGGACATTTCGAACAGTACTGTATAATTGGAATACTTTTGGGGACATTTCTAACAGTACTGTATATTTAGAATACTTTTGGGGACATTTCTAACAGTACTGTATATTTAGAATACTTTTGGGGACATTTCTAACAGTACTGTAGAATTAGAATACTTTTGGGAACATTTCTAAGAGTATTATATATTTAGAATACTTTTGGGGACATTTTTAAAAGCACTGTATATTTAGAATACTTTTGGGGACATTTCTAAAAGTATTGTATAATTAGAATACTTTTGGGCACATTTTTAAAAGTATTGTATATTTAGAATACTTTTGGGGACATTTCTAACAGTACTGTATATGTTTATGTTTAAAAACATGTTAAGTCATGACGTCAAAAGTGAACAGAGTGTGATCTTTGAGTGTTCAAGACCCAGAGGAGGAGGTTTATAAAGCGAGTGTGGTGAGACTGTGAAGACCAGTAGGCCCCAGTTTGGCTACGTCCGCACGAAAACACTCCTGGATTTTATTTTTTGCATGTTGTAGAGGATAAATTACTTAAATTCTCTTACCGTTTCTAAATTTAAGAAAAAGTACAAGGATAAAATAAAGATGGACGATGTGACTGAGGAAATTTTTTTAAAAAGTGAATGAAAGAGAAAGAGATTTTGTAACATACAAATGTCTCACTGGTGACTTGGTTTGGCTTTTGATTATTAAAGAAATGTTTAATTACTATTATTTTTTGATCTGTGAAAGGAGCAGGTTTGTAAGATTTGTCTTGGTCCTTTTGTTCATGCCGCAAATAATGAAATAAATGGGAATATGTATGTACGTGTGTTTAAATATGCACACAGGCTTAGGGAATGTGCAAACAAAACTGCACACAGGCTTAAGATTACAAAGGGTTCGCCTGTAAAGAGTGACATACAGCTCCTGTTGGTGTTCATATTTGGTCTCGTATCTATTTTTTTCTACGGTGGTGTTTGTGATTGTGTTTGTGCGCTGCTTTGTGTTGTGTTGTTCTGTTTTTGATAAAGCTGTGACCACCTGTCCCAAGACAAATTTAGACACAATAAAAGATGATCTTATCTTACTTACGTTAATTATCAGATTTGTTGTTGTTCTTTTTAAATTGATGCCAACAAAATAATAGCATGAGCAATAACTAACTAACTAAATAAATAAATAAAAAGAGAGGGTTTGGTTCATGTTTGCTGCGTTTTTCACAGGAAATAAAGCGTGTTTGATCTTTAAACACGACTGCTGCGCCTCCTGAAACAGGAAACAGCTGCTGCGTTTGTTTTGTGGAGCATATCACCTCAACATTTCAGTTGGAAATACAGCGTTTCATCACAAGATCCAGTGAGTGTTTGGAGAGAAATGATTAAGATTTTTTTTTAATCGTGCAGGACCCAGTGTGTTAAAGTAAACGGTTCCCTGTCCACTGGAGCTCCTCAGGGTTTCGTGCTATTGTTGTTGTTTTTTATTTTGTACCAGTGACTGCAAAGGAAACATTTGTCTGACTAAGAAATCATCCCGAGTTTGTAGAGAACATTTTGTATGTGGAGCGACGACAAAACAAAATCCCGTTTGTTAATGTAGAGGAGCAGAAGACAAACAGACTGAGCTGCTCTTTCTTGTTCTTGTGGTTTTACACAAACATCACGTCTTGGTCTTTGCAGTGGAAGGTGTTTCTTGGTGAACAGTTGGAGACTTTCACTTTGGTGTCGACTTTTTAAATTTTTGATCAGGATTTTGTTTTGTCGTGGCTCCACATACAAAATGTTTCAAACTCAGGATGATTTCTTAGTCAGACAAATGTTTCCTTTTTGGTTCTTCCTGTGGATCAATCCTGCCCATCACCTTCACCTTTCACTATTTTTCAATTCCGTCGGGAAGAGAAACAGTTTGAACAGAGGCAATGTTGGGAGGGTGACTTTTAAAATGTAATCCCCTACAGATTACACACACCAAAATGTAGTTTGTAATAGAATCCATTAAATTACTTAAAGTGAGTAATGTAATCTGATTACTTTAGATTACTTGATATTGTCATGCTTTTTAAAACTACATGAATGCAGCGACCACATCCTGAAAATTCTTGTTTGTTCTCTTCAAATTGGTCCTGGTTTAGTCCTGGTTTAGTCCTGGTTTAATCCTAGTTTAGTCCTGGTTTAGTCCTGGTTTAGTCCTGGTTTAGTCCTGGTTTAGTCCTTGGTTTAGACTTGGTTTAGACCTGGTTTAGACCTGGTTTAGTCCTGGTTTAGTCCTGGTTTAGTTCCTGGTTTAGTCCTGGTTTAGTCCTGGTTTAGACCTGGTTTAGATCTGGTTTAGTCCTGGTTTAGACTTGGTTTAGACCTGGTTTAGACCTGGTTTAGACTTGGTTTAGACCTGGTTTAGTCCTGGTTTAAACCTACTTTAGACCTAGTTTAGATCTGGTCTAGTCCTGGTTTTAGTCCTTGTTTAGATCTGGTTTAGTCCTGGTTTAGCCCAAAATGTGAAAACGGTTAAATCCCTCTGTGTAATCCATTTATTTCAACAAAGTAACTGTAATCCAATTACCACTCACTGAAACAGTAACTGTAACTGAATACAGTTACTCATCATTTGTACTCTGATTACTCCGGTACATGTAATCTGTTACTCCCGACACTGATTACGTTACAAACTACATTTTGTCGTATGTAATCTGTAATTTGTAGGGGATTACATTTTAAAAGTCACCTTCCCAACAGTGTCTGTTGTGCGTCTGTTGCGTCTGTCTGTTGTTCTGTTGTTCGTCTGTTGTCGTCTGTTGTCTGTTGCGTCTGTTGTGTCTGTTGTCTGTTGTGCTGTTGTGAGTCTGTTGTGCGTCTGTTGTGCGTCTGTTGTGCTTCTGTTGTGAGTCTGTTGTGCGTCTGTTGTGCGTCTGTTGTGCGTCTGTTGTCGCTGTGTCGCCTGTTGTGCTGTTGTTCTGTTGTGAGTCTGTTGTGCGTCTGTTGTTCGTCTGTTGTGCGTCTGTTGTGCGTCTGTTGTGCGTCTGTTGTGCGTCTGTTGTTCGTCTGTTGTTCGTCTGTTGTGCGTCTGTCTGTGCGTCTGTCTGTGCGTCTGTTGTGCGTCTGTTGTGCGCCTGTTGTGCCTGTTGTGAGCCTGTTGTGAGCCTGTTGTGAGTCTGTTGTGAGTCTGTTGTGCGTCTGTTGTGCGTCTGTTGTGCGTCTGTTGTGCGTCTGTTGTGCGTCTGTTGTGCGTCTGTTGTGCGTCTGTTGTTCGCCTGTTGTGCGTCTGTTGTGCGTCTGTTGTGCGTTACACAACCATCTCCCCGTGGGACAATAACGTCGTTGAAAGTCGCTGTAGAAGCAGATGGAGGCGGGTTCAGACTCGTCGCCGTGGGAGTTTTCGTGGGAGGTGAAATCCGTCGCTCACGCCCACGGTCCTGACAGTTCCACGAATCCGGAGTTTTCACAGCGACGCAAGTTTAAACAAGCAAAAACGTTCAACTTTTACACAAACACACGTCGTAAACAAACACAGAGACACGGATCGACGCTTTTCCTACGCACGAACTGTGACATGTTTACACTGTACGAGTCATGCTCCCTCATCGCTTCTCAATCCCTCCCTCCTTCTTTTCTTTTCTTTTCTTTTGTATTTAAAGAATTTAAAAACTGAGCTTTTCTCACACGGGACACTGACAACTCTTTTGACGTCCTTCTTAAAACTTTAAACTTCTTTACGGAACGAACCCGCGAATCCGAGTGTTGTTCGTTCAGCCGTTTGTCAAAATAAAAAAAGAAGAAAATGAAAAAAATAAATAAATTTCTTCATTATTTGTCTCCAAAATCAAAATGAAAAAAAAAAAACAGATAAAGATTTGGGTTTTTTCAATTTTTGATTTTGTGTTTAAATGAAAAATGGAAAAAAAAAAAAATAACGGACTGAACCAGACCAGGACCGAGACCAGGACGAAGACTGGAACCAGATCAAGACTGAAAACGGTTTAGACCTGGTTTAGATCTGGTTCAGTCCTGGTTCAGTCCTGGTTTAGTCCTGGTTTAGTCCTGGTTTAGTCCTGGTTTAGTCCTGGTTCAGACCTGGTTTAGTCCTGGTTTAGACCTGGTTTAGACCTGGTTTAGACCTGGTTTTGACCTGGTTTAGTCCTGGTTCAGTTCTGGTTTAGTCCTGGTTTAGTCCTGGTTCAGTTCTGGTTTAGTCCTGGTTTAGTTCTGGTTTAGTCCTGGTTCAGTTCTGGTTTAGTTCTGGTTTAGACCTGGTTTAGACCTGGTTTAGACCTGGTTCAGTCCTGGTTTAGTCCTGGTTCAGTTCTGGTTTAGTCCTGGTTTAGTTCTGGTTTAGTCTGGTTTCAGTTCTGGTTTAGTCCTGGTTTAGTCCTGGTTCAGTTCTGGTTTAGTCCTGGTTCAGTTCTGGTTTAGTCCTGGTTTAGTCCTGGTTTAGTCCTGGTTTAGTTCTGGTTTAGTCCTGGTTCAGTTAGTCTGGTTTAGTCCTGGTTTAGTCCTGGTTCAGTTCTGGTTTAGTCCTGGTTCAGTTCTGGTTTAGTCCTGGTTTAGTCCTGGTTTAGTCCTGTCTCTCCTCTTGGTCTCACCTGGATGAAGTCGTTGAGGAGGCTCTTGTTGCCGTGGAGACCGCTGATGCGTTGCGTCGCGCAGGTGAAGTACGGCCGGAGCTGGTTCACCAGAGACGCCACGAAGTCCGAGGAGCCGTCGTCCGAGTCGTCCCGGTCCCGCTCCCTGCTGCTGTAGATCAACTGCCCGCCCTGGACGCACAAAAACACACAAAAAACACACACAAAAGATCAACTGCCCGCCCTGGACGCACAAAAACACACAAAAACACACAAAAAACACACACAAAAGATCAACTGCCCGCCCTGCACGCACAACAACACACAACAACACACAAAAAACACACACAAAAGATCAACTGCCCGCCCTGGACGCACAAAAACACACACAAACACACAAAAAACACACACAAAAGATCAACTGCCCGCCCTGGACGCACAACAACACACAAACAACACACAAAAAACACACACAAAAGATCAACTGCCCGCCCTGGACGCACAAAAACACACAAAACTCACAAAAAACACACACAAAAGATCAACTGCCCGCCCTGGACGCACAAAACACACAAACACAAAAAAACACACACAAAAAGAAACAACAAAAACACACAAAAACACACAAAAGATCAACTGCCCGCCCTGGACGCACAAAAACACACAAAAAACACACACAAAAGATCAACTGGACGCCCTGGACGCACAAAAACACACAAAACACACACACAAAAGATCAACTGCCGCCCTGACGCACACACAAACACACAAAACACACACAAAAGATCAACTGCCCGCCCTGGACGCACAACACACAAAACACACAAAAAACACACACAAAAGATCAACTGCCCGCCCTGGACACACAACAAAAACACACAAAAACACACACACAAAAGATCAACTGCCCGCCCTGGACGCACAAAAACACACACAAACACACAAAAAACACACACAAAAGATCAACTGCCCAACCTGGACGCACAACAACACACAAAAAACACACACAAAAGATCAACTGGACGCCCTGGACGCACAACAACACACAAAAACACACACACAAAAGATCAACTGCCCGCCCTGGACGCACAAAAACACACACAAACACACAAAAAACACACAAAAGATCAACTGCCCGCCCTGGACGTACAAAAAACACACAAAAACACACACACAAAAGATCAACTGGACGCCCTGGACGCACAAAAAAACACACAAAACTCACAAAAAAACACACACAAAAGATCAACTGCCCGCCCCTGGACGCACAAAAACACACACAAACACACAAAAAAGATCAACTGGACGCCCTGGACGCACAAAAACACACACAAACACACAAAAAAACACACACAAAAGATCAACTGCCCGCCCTGACGCACAAAAACACACACAAAACACACAAAAAAACACACACAAAAGATCAACTGCCCGCCCTGGACGCACAACAACACACACAAACACACAAAAAAGATCAACTGCCCGCCCTGGACGCACAACAACACACAACAACACACACAAAAGATCAACTGCACCGCCCTGGACGCACAACAACACACACAAACACACAAAAACACACACAAAAGATCAACTGCCCCCTGATGCACAAAAAAACAACAAACACACAAAAAGATCAACTGCCCGCCCTGGACGCACAAAAACACACAACAACACACACAAAAGATCAACTGCCCGCCCTGGACGCCAAAAACACACACAAACACACAAAAAACACACACAAAAGATCAACTGCCCGCCCTGGACGCACAAAACACACACAAACACACCACACACAAAGATCAACTGCCCCCTGGACGACAAAAACACACACAACACACAAAACACACAAACACAAAAAAACACACACAAACACACACAAAAAAAGATCAACTGCCCGCCCTGGACGCACAAAAACACACACAAACACACAAAACACACAAAAAAGATCAACTGCCCGCCCTGGACGCACAAAAACACACACAAACACACAAAACACACACAAAAGATCAACTGCCCGCCCTGGACGCACAAAAACACACACAAACACACACAAAAAAGATCAACTGCCCGCCCTAGACGCACAAAAACACACAACAACACACAAAAAACACACACACAAAAATCAACTGCCCGCCCACGCAACAACACACACAAAAAACACACACAAAAGATCAACTGCCCGCCCTGGACGCACAAAAACACACAAAACACACAAAAAAACACACAAAAGATCAACTGCCCGCCCTGGACGCACAAAAACACACACAAACACACAAAAAAACACACAAAAGATCAACTGGACGCCCTGGACGCACAAAAACACACAAAACACACAAAAAACACACACACAAAGATCAACTGCCCGCCCTGACGCACAAAAAACACACAACAACACACAAAAAACACACAAAAGATCAACTGGACGCCCTGGACGCACAAAAACACACAAAACACACAAAAAACACACAAAAGATCAACTGGACGCCCTGGACGCACAAAAACACACACAAACACACAAAAAAAAGACCAGCTGTCTGCACAAAAACAAACACACAAATACAGCAGGATCACAAGGTTCAGGAGGTTCAGGAGGAGGTGGTTCAGGACGAGGTTCAGGAGGAGGTTCAGGAGGTTCAGGACAGGAGGTTCAGGAGGTTCAGGAGGTGGTTCAGGTTCAGGAGGAGGAGGTTCAGGAGGAGGAGGTTCAGGTTCAGGAGGTTCAGAGGTTCAGGTTCAGGAGGAGGTTCAGGAGGGTTCAGGAGAGGTTCAGGTCAGGAGGTTCAGGTTCAGGTGGTTCAGGAGGTTCAGGAGGGTGCGGTTCAGGAGGAGGAGGTTCAGGAAGGTTCAGGAGGTCAGGAGGAGGAGGTTCAGGACGAGGTTCAGGAGGAGGTTCAGGAGGAGGTTCAGGTGGTTCAGGAGGTGTTCAGGAGGTCAGGTTCAGGAGGAGGTTCAGGAGGTTCAGGTTCAGGAGAGGTTCAGGGAGTTCAGGAGAGGTTCAGGAGGTTCAGGAGGTTCAGGAGGGGTTCAGGAGGAGGTTCAGGAGGAGGAGGTTCAGGAGGAGAGTTCAGAGGTGGGTTCAGGAGGTTCAGGAGGGTGCGGTTCAGGAGGGAGGAGGTTCAGGAAGAGGTTCAGGAGGAGGTTCAGGAGGGGTGCGGTTCAGGAGGAGGAGGTTCAGGAAGAGGTTCAGGAGAGGTGGTTCAGGAGGTTCAGGAGGTTCAGGAGGTTCAGGAGGTTCAGGTTCAGGAGGTGGTTCAGGTGGTTCAGGAGGAGGTTCAGGAGGAGGAGGTTCAGGAGGAGGAAGAAGTTCAGGAAGAGGTTCAGGAGGTTCAGGAGGAAGAAGTTCAGGAGGAGGTTCAGGACGAGGTTCAGGAGGTTCAGGAGGAGGAGGTTCAGGAGGAGGTTCAGGAGGACGTTCAGGTGGTTCAGGAGGAGGTTCAGGAGGTTCAGGAGGGTGCGGTTCAGGAGGAGAGGTTCAGGAGGAGGTTCAGGAGGAGGTTCAGGAGGAGGAGGAGTTTCAGGAGGAGGAGGTTCAGGAGGAGGAGGAGGTTCAGGAGGGTGCGGTTCAGGAGGAGGAGGTTCAGGAAGAGGTTCAGGAGGTGGTTCAGGAGGTTCAGGAGGAGGTTCAGGAGGTTCAGGAGGAGGAGCTTCAGGTGGTTCAGGAGGAGGTTGAGGAGGTTCAGGAGGAGGTTCAGGAGGAGGCTTCAGGAAGAGGTTCAGGAGGTTCAGGAGGAGGTTCAGGAGGAGGTTCAGGAGGAGGTTCAGGAAGAGGTTCAGGAGGAGGTTCAGGAGGAGGTTCAGGAGAGTTCAGGAGGTTCAGGGAGGAGGTTCAGGAAGAGGTTCAGGAAGAGGTTCAGGAGGAGGTTCAGGAGGAGGTTCAGGAGGTTCAGGAGGTTCAGGAGGTTCAGGAGGTTCAGGAGGAGGAGGTTCAGGAGGAGGAGGTTCAGGAGGTTCAGGAGGAGGTTCAGGAGGTTCAGGAGGAGGTTCAGGACGTTCAGGGAGGAGGTTCAGGTTTCAGGAGGTTCAGGAGTTCAGGAGGAGGTTCAGGAGGAGGTTACAGGAGGAGCTTCAGGAAGAGGTTCAGGAAGAGGTTCAGGAAGAGGTTCAGGAGGTTCAGGAGGAGGAGGTTCAGGAGGAGGTTCAGGAGGAGGTTCAGGAAGTTCAGGAGGTTCAGGAGGTTCAGGAGGAGGTTCAGGAGGAGGAGGTTCAGGACGAGCTTCAGGAAGAGGTTCAGGAAGAGGTTCAGGAGGTTCAGGAGGTTCAAGGAGGAGGTTCAGGAGGAGGAGGTTTTGGAGGAGGTTCAGGAGGAGGTTCCTGTGGAGGAGGTTCAGGAGGAGGAACCCGCTGATGCAAAAGAAAAAAAAACAAAACTTTTCTCACCTTGAATATTTTGAAGTTGTTCTGAGGTTCTTCTATCAAGTGTCTGATGGCAAAGGTCATTCTCTGTCGGCTCCTGAAACAAAACGAACACGTCAGGAAACGAATCCAACATGAAGTCGTGTTTTCAGTCGCCCGCGTTTGGACCAAGAAGCTTTCGGAGATATTCGTGTGCTCAGGAAAGAAATCGGTGCATATCTGTCTGTAGAAGAGCGTAAAATAAATGTTCGTAAACTCTCGAGTGAGTCCAGTCCAACCGGAAATGAATTGAAAAGTTACGACATCAAGAATTACAACCACGAAAATTTCGAAATACGCTTCTGCGACCCAAAAGTCCGACGTCTCGATCGATGTTTCTTCTGCTCAATAAATAAAACCCGTGAAGCGATGACGGATTTCTGACAGTCGAGTCGCGTTTTTAAATTCGAGTTCGTACTGAAGAAAGTGTAACCGTAAATTTTTTTCATTTCTTGATTGTAATTCTTGACGTCGTAACTTTTCAGTTTGTATTCCGATGATAAAATACACAAAACACATTTTCCGTACGACTGCACCGATTCCAGAGTTTACGAACATTTATTTTATGCTCAAATACCGACAAATACGCACCGATTTTCGTGTGAATTCGTGTTCTTCAGTACGAACACGAATTCAAAGACGCGACTCGACTGTCAGAAATCAGTCATCGACACTTGCGTCGAACCAGGACTGAACCAGGACTGAACCAGGACTGAACCAGGACTGAATGACTCAACAAAAACGTCAATTTTAATTTCGTGATTCGAGTTCAGGAGGAGGTTCATGGGGTTCAGGAGGAGGAGGTTCAAGAGGAGGTTCAGGAGGAGGAGGTTCAGGAGGAGGAGGTTCAGGAGGTTCAGGAGGAGGTTCAAGAGGAGGTTCAGAAGGTTCAAGAGGAGGTGTTCAGGAGGAGGAGGTTCAAGAGGTTCAAGAGGAGGAGGTTCAGGAGGAGGAGGTTCAAGAGGTTCAAGAGAAGGTTCAAGAGAAGGTTCAGGAGGAGGTTCAAGAGGAGGTTCAGGAGGAGGTGGTTCAAGAGGTTCAGGAGGAGATTCAAGAGGAAGTTCAGGAGGAGGTGGAGGAGATTCAGGAGGAGGTTCAAGAGGAGGTTCAGGAGGTTCAAGAAGAGGTTCAGGAGGTTCAAGAAGAGGTTCAGGAGGGTGCGGTTCAGGAGGGTGTGGTTCAGGAGGGTGCGGTTCAGGAGGAGGTTCAGGAAGAGGTTCAGGAAGAGGTTCAGAAGAGGTTCAGGAGGTGGTTCAGGAGGAGGAAGAGGTTCAGGAGGTTCAGGAGGTTCAGGAGGAGGAGGTTCAGGAGGAGGTTCAGGAAGAGGTTCAGGAAGAGGTTCAGCAGGAGGAGGAGGAGGAGGGTCAGGAGGTTCAGGAGGTGGTTCAGGAGGAGGAGGGGTCAGGAGGTTCAGGAGGTGCGGAGGAGAAGAGGTTCAGGAGGAGGTTCAGGTTCAGGAGGAGGTTCAGGAGGTTCAGGAAGAGGTTCAGGAGGAGGAGGTTCAGGAGGAGGTTCAGAAAGAGGTTCAGAAGAGGTTCAGGAGGTGGTTCAGCAGGAGGTGGTTCAGCAGGAGGAGGAGGAGGGTCAGGAGGTTCAGGAGGGTGCGGTTCAGGAGGGTGCAGGTTCAGGAGGAGGTTCAGGAAGAGGTTCAGGAGGAGGTTCAGGAGGAGGTGGTTCAGGAGGTTCAAGAGGAGGTTCAAGAGGAGGTTCAGGAGGTTCAAGAAGAGGTTCAGGAGGAGGTTCAGGAGGAGGTTCAGGAAGAGGTTCAGGAAGAGGTTCAGAAGAGGTTCAGAAGAAGTTCAGAAGGAGGAGGTTCAGGAGGAGGAGGTTCAGGAGGAGGTTCAGGAAGAGGTTCAGAAGAGGTTCAGGAGGAGGAGGTTCAGGAGATTCAGGAGGGTGCGGTTCAGGAGGAGGAGGTTCAGGAGGAGGTTCAGGAAGAGGTTCAGGAAGAGGTTCAGGAGGTTCAGGAGGAGGTTCAGGAAGAGGTTCAGGAAGAGGTTCAGGAAGAGGTTCAGGAAGAGGTTCAGAAGAGGTTCAGGAGGTGGTTCAGGAGGAGTAGGTTCAGGAGGGTGCGCTTCAGGAGGAGGAGGTTCAGGAGGAGAAGGTTCAAGAGGTTCAAGAGGAAGTTCAGGAGGAGGTGGAGGAGGTTCAGGAGGAGGTTCAAGAGGAGGTTCAGGAGGAGGAGGTTCAGGAGGTTCAAGAGGAGGTTCAGAAGGAGGTTCAAGAGGAAGTTCAGGAGGAGGTTCAGGAGGTTCAGGAGGTTCAGGAGGAGGTTCAAGAGGAGGTTCAGGAGGAGGAGGTTCAAGACGTTCAAGAGGAGGTTCAGGAGGAGGTTCAAGAGGAAGTTCAGGAGGAGGTTCAGGAGGTTCAGGAGGAGGAGGTTCAAGAGGAAGTTTAAGAGGAGGTTCAGGAGGTTCAAGAAGAGGTTCAAGAGGCGGAGGTTCAAGAGGTTCAGGAGGAGGTTCAGGAGGAGGTTCAAGAGGAGGAGGTTCAAGAGGAGGTTCAGGAGGAGGAGGTTCAGGTTCAGTACTTTTACACTCGTCACTCGTCACGCAGAACTGAAGTACTACATGAATACGAAAAGTACTTTTACCGGCACTCGTCAAGCGGAACTGAAGTACTACATGAATACAAAAAGTACTTCTGACACACTGGGGTATTGGGGGATTGGGGGGGAGGGGGTATCTGACACACTGGGGTATTGGGGGGGGGGGGGGGGGTACTGACCCGGAGAACAGGTCCAGGGGGCAGTAGAGGCTGCGCTTCTTCCAGATCCCGTTAGAAACCTGCAGAGAAAAAGAAAAAGAGGATGAGAGGAGGATGAGGAGAGGAGGAGCAGAGGAGGAGAAAGAGAAGAGGAAGAGGAGAAGAGGATGAGAGGAAGAGGAGAAGAGGATGAGAGGAGGTGCAGAGGAGGAGGAGGTTCAGAGGAGGAGGAGGTTCAGAGGAGGAGGAGGTTCAGAGGAGGAGGTGGTTCAGAGGAGGTGTAGAGGAGGAGGTGAAGAGGAGGAGGTGCAGAGAGTGCAGAGGAGGAGGTGCAGAGAGGAGGAGGTGCAGAGAGGAGGAGGTGAGGAGGTGGAGGCAGGAGGAGGAGGAGGTGCAGGAGGAGGAGGTACAGAGGAGGAGGAGGTGAGAGAGGAGAGGAGGAGGTTGCAGAGGAGGAGGAGGTGCAGAGGAGGAGGAGGTACAGAGGAGGAGGAGGTGCAGAGGAGGAGGTGCAGAGGAGGAGGAGGTGCAGAGGAGGAGGAGGTACAGAGGAGGAGGAGGTTCAGAGGAGGAGGAGGTACAGAGGAGGAGGAGGTGCAGAGGAGAGGAGGTGCAGAGGAGGAGGAGTACAGAGGAGGTGCAGAGGAGGAGGAGGTTCAGAGGAGGAGGAGGTACAGAGGAGGTGCAGAGGAGGAGGAGGTACAGAGGAGGAGGAGGAGGTACGGAGGAGGAGGTGCAGAGGAGGAGGAGGTTCAGAGGAGGAGGGAGGTACAGAGGAGGAGGAGTGCAGAGGAGGAGGAGGTGCAGAGGAGGAGGAGGTGCAGAGGAGGAGGAGGTACAGAGGAGGTGCAGAGGAGGAGGAGGTTCAGAGGAGGAGGAGGTACAGAGGAGGTGCAGAGGAGGAGGAGGTTCAGAGGAGGAGGAGGTACAGAGGAGGAGGTGCAGAGGAGGAGGAGGCAGAGGAGGAGGAGGTGCAGAGGAGGAGGAGGTGCAGAGGAGGAGGAGGAGGTGCAGAGGAGGAGGAGGTGCAGAGGAGGAGGAGGTGCAGAGGAGGAGGAGGTGCAGAGGAGGTGCAGAGGAGGTGGAGGTGCAGAGGAGGAGGTGCAGAGGAGGAGGTGCAGAGGAGGACCTTGTAGTGCTGGTGCATGCAGAAGCGACACACTCTGGTCTTGATTTCCTTGGAGACGTGTTTGGACGTGGGCAGGAAACCGCACTTTGGCTGAAAAACACAGAGTCACTTTTATGTCCCGTCACGTCTGTGCCCCCGTGACCAGGAAGTGCACGTTAGCATGCTAGTTGCTGAGGGCAAAAGAGGACGATGAGGAAGAACTTTAGACCACTGCAAACTCTTTACAACCCATTCTGTTTTTCACCGTTTGAAGACGGAAACACGGGGCCTATGTGTGTGTGTTTATGTGTGTTTGTGTGTGTGTGTGTATTTGTGTGTTGTTGTTGTACCTTGATCTCGATGCAGAGGGGCGGGGTCAGCGTGGGCTGGTGGTAAAGGGGCGTGGTCAGGTTGGGTGTTGTTGTGTGTATATGTTGTTGTGTTGTGTGTTGTTGTATTTGTGTGTTGTTGTGTTTGTGTTGTGTGTAGTTGTGTGTTGTAGTTGTGTTGTTGTGTGTATGTGTCGTGTGTGTTGTTTTGTTGTTGTGTGTTTGTGTGTCGTGTGTGTTGTTGTTGTGTGTCGTGTGTGTGGTTGTTGTGTGTTTGTGTGTTGTTGTGTGTCGTGTGTGTTGTGTGTTGTGGCGTTGTTGTCGTACCTTGATCTCGATGCAGAGGGGCGGGGTCAGCGTGGGCTGGTGGTAAAGGGGCGTGGTCAGGTTGTGTGTTGTTGTGTGTATATGTTGTTGTGTTGTGTGTTGTTGTGTTGTGTTGTTGTTGTGTGTCGTTGTGTGTAGTTGTGTGTTGTTGTGTTGTTGTTGTACCTTGATCTCGATGCAGAGGGGCGGGGTCAGCGTGGGCTGGTGGTAAAGGGGCGTGGTCAGGTTGGGCAGACACAGAGCACAGCCGCTGTAGATGTCCATCACTTTAGTACATCTCCACGCTGAAGACGGAGAGATAAAAAAAGAGGAGAGAGGAGAGAAAGACGGAGAGAGAGAAAGAGAAGAGAGAGGAGAGAAAGAGGAGAGAGAGATGGAGAGAAAGAGAGAGAGAGAGAAGGAGAGAAAGAGAGAGAGAGAGAGAGAGAGAGAGAGAGAGAGAGAGAGAGAGAGATGGAGAGAAAGAGGAGGAGAGAAAGAGAGAGATGGAGAGAAAGAGAGATGGAGAGAAAGAGAGAGAGGAGAGAGAGAGGAGAGAAAGAGGAGAGAGGAGAGAAAGAGGAGAGGGAGAGAGGAGAGAAAGAGGAGAGAGGAGAGAGAGAGAGAGAGAGAGAGAGAGAGGAGAGAGGAGAGAAAGAGGAGAGGGAGAGAGGAGAGAAAGAGAGAGAGAGAGAGGAGAGAGAGAGGAGAGAGAAAGGAGAGAAAGAGAGGAGAGAGAGAGAGGAGAGGGAGAGAAAGAGAAGAGAGAAAGAGAAGAGAGAAAGAGAGAGGAGAGAAAGAAGAGAGAGAGGAGAGAGAGATGGAGAGAAAGAGAGGGAAAGAGAGGAGAGAGAGAGGAGAGAAGGAGTGGGAGAAAGAGAGGAGAGAGAGAGGAGAGAAAGAGAAGAGAGAAAGAGGAGTGGGAGAGAGGAGAGAGAGAGAGGAGAGAGAGAGAGAGGAGAGAGAGAGGAGAGAAAGAGGAGAGAGAGAGAGAAGAGAGAGAGAGGAGAGAAAGAGAGGAGAGGGAGAGAGGAGAGAAAGAGAGAGAGATATGAGGGAGGAGAAGAGAGGGAGAGAAGGAGTGGGAGAAAGAGAGGACAGAGAGGAGAGAAAGAGAGGAAAGAGAGAGGAGAGAGAGAGAAGAGAGAAAGAGGAGAGGGAGAGAGGAGAGAAAGAGAAGAGAGAGAGAGGAGAGAGAGAGAGAAAGAGAGAGAAATGGGGGAGGAGAAGAGAGGGAGAGAGAGAAAGAGACGGAAAAGACAGAAACAGAGAGGGAAAGAGAGTGAGGAGAAAGAGACAGAAAGAGGGCAAAGAGAGAGAGCGGCGGGGAAGAGAGAGACAGAGAGGAGAAAAAGAGAGAAGCAGAGAGGGAGGGAGGGGGTAAGAGACGAGACAGGAGAGAGAGAGAGGAAGAGACAAAATACACAGTAGGAAGAGAAGAGAGAGGGAGGGGAGAGAGCGAGAAAGAGGAGAGGAGAAAAGAGAGAGGAGAAAGAGACAGAAAAAGGGTAAAGAGAGAGAGGGACGGGGAAGAGAGAGACAGAGAGAGAGAGGGGGAGGGGAAAGAGAAAAAGAGGAAAGAAAGAGGAGGTTGAGAAAGAGACGGGAGAGGAAGAGAGGAGAGAAAGGAGAGAGAGAGGGGGGGAAGAGGAGGAGAGATAAAGAGGGTAAAGAGAGGGAGAGGGAAGAGCGAGAGAGAGGAGAAAGACAGAAAAGGGAAAGAGAGAGAGGGGAGAAAGAAAACGACGGGGAGAGAGCGGAAAAACAGAGAAAGAGGGAGAGAGAGAGGGGAAGAGAGAGAGGGGAAAAAGAGAGGGGGAAGAGAAAGAGGGGAAAGAAAAAAAGGGGGGGTTAAAGAGAAAGGAGAGAGGGAGGGGAAAGGGAGAAAAAGAGGACAGAAAGAGATGGAAGAGAAAGAGAGGAAAAGGGGAAAAAGAGGAGAGAGAGAGAGGAAAGAGGAGGGGGGGAGGGGAGAGAAGAAGGAGACAGAAAAAGGGGAAAGACAGAGAAAGGAGGAAAGAAAAGAGAGAAAAAGAGGGAGGAGAGAGAAAAAGAGAAAAGAAAGGAGGTTGAGAAAGAGACGGGAGAGAGAGAGAGAGAGAGAGAGAGGGGAGAGAAGAGGAGATAACTGTGATGTTGTTTTGTTTGTTTGTCTCGTTGCCGTGGTGATGGTTTGTCGTTCTCGTGGTCTCAAACTGTACCTGGTCTGTGGTGCTGCACTCGGATGGACAACTGCCTCACGAACTCCAGAGGCAACTTCACCACCTCCTGAAACACGGCAGCACAGAGACACTCGTCAAAAAACAAACAAAAACACAAACACAAAGAGAGAAACTCCAGAGGCAACTTCACCACCTCCTGAAACACGGCAGCACAGAGACACTCGTCAAAAAAACAAACAAAAACACAAACACAAACACAAAGAGAGAAACTCCTGAGGCAACTTCACCACCTCCTGAAACACGGCAGCACAGAGACACTCGTCAAAAAAACAAACAAACAAAAACACAAAGAGAGAAACTCCAGACTCCATCACGTCATATCGTGATACATCATACTGCGCTATGTCATGCTGATGCGTTATACCAAGATACGTCATACTGATATGTCATACCGTGATACACTGTGATATGTCATACCGCAATATGTCATACTGATATGTCATACCGCGAAACACCGTGATACATCATACCAAGATATGTCATACCGTGATATGTCGTACCGCGCTATGTCGTACCGCGCTATGTCATACCGCAATTCAACATGATATGTCAAACGATGATACGTCATACTGCTCTATGTCATCGTGTCTCTGGTGCAGGTGCAGACTCTTACCCCACTGTGGATGAACTGTTCTCCAATGAAGCTGCTCATGACGTTTGAGGTAAAGTCCACGATGTTCTGGATCTGTCTGTAGGCCTGCTCCGCCGTCTGAGGAGAGAAACCACAAAACACAGGTCTGAGCCGGGAATCCAACCCTCAACCTGCGGGAATCCAACCCTCAACCCGCGGGAATCCAACCCTCAACCCCCGGGAATCCAACCCTCAACCCCCGGGAATCCAACCCTCAACCCGCGGGAATCCAACCCTCAACCTGCGGGAATCCAACCCTCAACCCCCGGGAATCCAACCCTCAACCCGCGGATCCACAGAAAGGACTTTACCTGTGGAGGGTTCTCAGAGTCGGCCGCCGGGTACTTGAGCAGACGAAGAACTCTGGGAATCTGCGGGGACAAAAGGACACAGTCAGACCCAAGAACGGTGCTCCTCTGTGGGCCGGAGAGTCCGACTGCGGCCCTGAACCATCCGAGGACCAGAAAGAACCAGAAAGAACCAGAGAAGACAACAGAAGACAACAGAAGACCAGATAAAATATAGACTTAAATATGTCAGGAAAATCGACACATTTTGCAGCATTTGAAAATTGCAAAACGTCACTGACCCGTGACGACATTGTTCAAATTTAATTAAAATTTAAATTAAAATAACTTATATTATGGAAAATGATGAAAACACAAACTGAGGTCTATAAATGTTGTTTTTTTCCTTAAAGTTTTGAAGAATTTCACAGTTTGCCCTGATGTGGCATTAACTCTGGAACCAAAGAGGAAAACACAAGAGAATTTCAGAAAAAGCACTTTCCCTCTTTAAATTTCATAAAAACTCCCAAATTCCACGAACATCTGACGACCTTTAAAATATTCACTGTCCAAATGCTCTTTGAGTTATTACTAATTAAACCATCTGTGAAATCGAAAAGTCACGAAAGTTAAAATCCAAACTGTGACATTTGTTTTTGTCATGACAAAAGCGTCACCGACAAAAAAAAAGAGGACAAATCTCACACTTGTTTCTATTTCACAGTCCTGCACACGGTGATGTCACAGAGTGATGTCATCACACGATACATGAGGAAAGATTTCAGATTATTGTTCAAATTTTATTTTTGTTTAACTCACAGGTGTCAAACATACGGCCCGGGGGCCAGATCCGGCCCTCCAAGACCTATAATCTGGCCCTCGGCTGATTTTCTACTAAAATATTTTAATTCTATTTTTTATTAAAATCGTGTTAATTTTCTGTGGTGTTTATCACAGCAGCGTCTCCAGCGTCTCTGTACGTGGCCCCTCCCACCAGAGCAGAGTCTCTGTACGTGGCCCCTCCCACCAGAGCAGCACAAATGAAGACTTGTCTCTTTCCAAACGCTCTTAAAGGACGATCGTTTTGACTGTTGACCGTGACACCCTCATCAGAAAAATGTCCAACATGAGAAAAGTGGAGCCGAGTGCAGGATTTTACAACAAAAATGGACTTATTCCTAATATAATGTTAAAATATTGTGTTGAAATTACATTTTTCTTAAAGTTTCAGGTTGTTCATAATATTATAATAAGAAAGAGTTCATCAATTAAAAAAGATTTCTGTAATAGATTTGTGTTTCTCTGCACAAATATTTAAAGTTATTGTTATTTTTGGGGTTTATATGACATGAGTTTTCTGATCCAGACACTTTGGATCAAAGTTGGTTGGACACGACCCCCGGAACAAAATGAGTTTGACTCTCCTGGATTAACTGAATAATACTGATGAAATCGACTTTTAGGAACAACTTTAAGACATTAAAAGTAGTTTTTTTTGTGTTTGTTTTGAAAATACTTATGTTCATGTCAAGGCTTTTAAAATGATGCCACAGAGAAAAGTTTGATTTTTTAAATTTTTATACTTTGTGCAAACAAAAGTTCTCGCTGAAGTTTACTTTTAAAATGTAATCCCCTACAGATTACAGATTACATCCCCTAAAATGTAGTTTGTAACATAATCCATTAAATTACTTAAAGTGAGTAATGTAATCTGATTACTTTGGATTACTTGATTTTCTGTAGAGAAACAAAGACGAGGAAATCTTCACATAAGAAGTTTTGTCTGTTAAAAGAAAATAAAAAGTCCAGACTTTTCAGACCGAATTAAAAATATTATTGATAGAAAACGAGGAAGAGGTCCACGCGGCATCGTTTTGTCCCGTTAAAGCCTGGTTTAGACCTGGTTTGAGTCCTGGTTTAGACCTGGTTTGAGTCCTGGTTTAGACCTGGTTTAGACCTGGTTTGAGTCCTGGTTTGAGTCCTGGTTTAGACCTGGTTTGAGTCCTGGTTGAGTCCTGGTTTAGACCTGGTTTGAGTCCTGGTTTAGACCTGGTTTAGACCTGGTTTAGACCTGGTTTAGATCTACTTTAGACCTGGTTTTAGTCCTGGTTTAGTCCTGGTTTTAGTCCTGGTTTAGTCCTGGTTTTAGTCCTGGTTTAGTCCTGGTTTAGTCCTGGTTTAGTCCTGGTTTAGTCCTGGTTTTAGTCCTGGTTTAGATCTACATTAGACCTGGTTTTAGTCCTGGTTTAGTCCTGGTTTTAGACCTGGTTTTAGTCCTGGTTTTAGTCCTGGTTTAGACCTGGTTTAGATCTACTTTAGACCTGGTTTTAGTCCTGGTTTAGTCCTGGTTTTAGACCTGGTTTTAGTCCTGGTTTAGATCTACTTTAGACCTGGTTTTAGTCCTGGTTTAGTCCTGGTTTAGTCCTGGTTTTAGTCCTGGTTTAGTCCTGGTTTTAGTCCTGGTTTAGTCCTGGTTTAGTGTCCGGCAATGAGTGGAAAAAATAAATAAAATAAAATAAAAAAGGGATTTAGCCCAAAATATGAAAACAGTAAAATCCGTCTGTGTAATCCATTTATTTCAACAAAGTAACTGTAATCCAATTACCACTCACTGAAACAGTAACTGTAACTGAATACAGTTACTCATCATTTGTACTCTGATTACTCTGGTACATGTAATCTGTTACTCCCGACACTGTCTATTGTATTGGCAACTTCTTCATGATACCAGCCCTGCTTCACATCACTGACGCGTTTGTGTTTTGTGTTTTGAATCTCCAGCGGAGCGACGTTCACACCGAGTGACGCACAAACATTTGACTAACAAACCCGAGCTCAGAAACAAAAACTCTGGAGTGTGTGAGTCAGAGCTGAGGAACACGTCTGTGCACGAGCTTCGTCCTCGAGCTTCGACCTCGAGCTTCAGGACGAGGACAGGAGAGCCGCCGTTAGAGCTCGGACTCTTCCACACGTTAAACTGGAGCAGTCATTTGTGTTTTTAAAGACTTGAAACACTAAAAAAAAAAAACTGAACCAGGACTGATCCAGGTCCGGGACCAGACCAGAACTGAAATCAGAACTGAGACCAGAACTGAGACCAGAACTGAGACCAGAACTGAGATCAGAACTGAGACCAGAACTGAGACCAGAACTGAGACCGGGACCAGACCAAGACCAGGACCAGACAGGAAGCTCAGAGCCCACGACAGGGTCGGAGCTCGGAGCTGAGGCTCGGACCCTACGGAGGCTCGGAGTCAAAGCTCAGAGTCCGGTCTGGTCCTGATCTGGTCTCAAGCTCAGTCCTGGTCTGGTCCCGGACCTGGATCAGTCCTGGTTCAGTTCGGCATCACAGTCTCGGAAGTCACATAAACGTCCGTTATTCGTTTTTTCCATTTTTAATTTAAACACAAAATCGAAAACTGAAAACAGAATCTTTGTGTTTTTTTTCATTTTGGTTTTGGAGACAAATAACGAAGAAAATTGTTGTTTTTATCGTTTTCTTATTTCAGTTTTATATTGAAAAACAAATGAACGAACGACACAAGGATTCAATACAATTCATATTTTGCAGAACTGAGTTCAGCTTTTTGGCTCCACAATATTTTCTGTTTCTCATTTGGCCCCAGGAAAAAAAATAAAAAAAATACCGAAATCCTGAAAATGTGTACTCGGTACATGTGTATATTCTAAAATGTACAGTATGAATGTGTAACCCGACTGCCTCCCTTTTTAGTTACTAACTTATTATTTACTGTATACTTGTATGTATGTGTATGTATGTGTGTATGTATGTGAGTGTATATATATATTTGAGCCCGACCGATATGGATTTTGTTGTGGCCGATATGAAACCGATATAATGGGAGTTGGAGCTGCCGATATAATCACCGATATATTTAGTGATGTAAAAATTTACTGTAAATGTTGAATTGATTAAAAAACTTAGGTTTGGCTCTAGTGGATTCTAAATTGGGTTTATTTAGGCAACATTTATTGTTATTTTGACTCTTTACATCATATTTACAGACAGTAGTTTGGCCTAATGGCATTTTTGCATCACATTCTAGCTACTAGTGATGGGTATTCCAGTTTTTTTTTTTTTGGGAGAACCGGCTCTTTTGGCTCGGCTCACTAAAGCAGCTGGCTCTTTCGGCTCCCAAGCGACTCTTGAGATTGTTTTGTTTTGTTGTAAGCAGGACTAAACCAGAACTGAACCAGGACTGAGTGTCGGGACTCGGTTTCTATCTCTCTCCTGCACTCGAGATTAGTCCTGGTTTATTAATTTTATGCTGAACTGCAGCCAAATATGCACTTTTTTTTTTTTTATCCTATGCACACGCAGATTTCTGAAAGTTTCGTTTTCAGCCGCTGCTGCTGTCAAACTACGGGTCGACAAGCGGCACGAAGAGAAAAAGTGAGAAACAGAGAAAACACGGCTCCCAATAAGAAGCAGGCTCCCGTTTCTTCAATCGCGACCGACCCATAACTCCTAGCTAGTAAACTATCGCTATTAGCCTTTAGCCGTAAATGCTGCGCACCGCGGTAGTTAATTCTATGCATAAATGTGGATCATTCACACGTCTATTCACAGCTCATTTACATATCAATGCTGGTCCAGTAACAAATATACGGCCAATACAGTCACTTTACAATAGACCAATAGAAAACAGCCTGTTTATGTGCAGGAGCTACAGCAGCTAATCGCTAACAAAACCTAAACTAGCTTCAAAGTCGATGTATTTCCAACACTCACCGCTCACACAGGCTCCTCCCACATCACAAGTCTGCACTAATAAATGTCCTTTTTTTTCTCAATGTTACGCACGTCTGCGGGTGTAAACAAACACACGTGAGTGAAGTGACGTCACTCTGGTGGTGTGTTCAGGGACAGTACGGACACAGACAAATGACTCCGTAGATAAATACTGATGCGGAGCCACATATTTGGACATTTATCTGTCTGTAAATTGGATTAAATGAACAGAATGTAGAGAGTCTAAGCTTTATAACGAGGTATAACATGCCCACGTGAAATATCGGCCCCTATCAGCAAGCATATCGGCCGATAGCCGATATGTCTCCAG